AAGAAAACAAAATGCAAATATTTCAAATTACTTTAGAAGGACAAACTATTTCTTTCGGTTCATACACATATCGAATAAAGTTTTAGGTGAAAAACACATCTTTATTCTTAGCTATTATATTCTTGCATTACTTAAGCATTTTTATTAATTTGTAACTTCATCATAGAGATTATAGAATACCTAATTTTCTCAAGTTCTTATTTTTTTCATGCTTGTTAATTAGTAGAGATTTATTTGTTATCTCATTAGGATTAGTAAGATAAGGGTTTTCTTTTTATTTATTACTAATAATAATAATAAAAAGATTTAACTAAAAAAAAGTTTAAAAAGTAAGGCGATGTGTTTTACTAGTTTATAGAGGGCGGCTCTGCATTATTAAAGTTTCTAAAAATGTTGGCTCTCACGTTGAAAATTATTGGGTCAAATAAACTTTTTATGTAAAAATGAAAAAATAAAAAAAATAAAATTGAAAACCATTTTATATTATGCTTTTCTTCGACAAAATTAATGCAACAAAAAAAAAAAAAAAAAAAAGAGTCGTTATTCTTGAAATAGTCTTGTAAGTTGTCAAATGCTTTTTTAAGTATTATTTTAGTCTATGAGAACAATTTTGCGAAATTATAATCAAGATCAAATATTTATATCTCAATATTAATTTTAGTATATGAAAAGAGCTTGTAGATGTTTTTCTTTTTTACATTTTCTTTTACGTGTCCGTGTGTTCAAGAAGAACAAAATAATTTTTAAATAGCAATTTAGATTGTTAGAACGATGGGAACTTAGTCGGTTTTGATTTAGAAAGATGAATGACTCAAAAGTTTAACAGGGGTGAAAATTTTCTCATTTTATTAGGGGCAGATTACAAATCGACGTCTTGATATAATACAATCATTTCGATTTTAATTGGAAAAGAACGGAGATATTCATCCGAATCGTCCAATGAAGAATAAGAATGCAAAGCGTCAATACACATGAATAGTATGCAGAACAGACAGGGAGAAAAAGAAGTGTAGAAGAGAGGCAACTGAGCTCATTTTCTTTACTTCCTGGGGCCCAAAGTAGTGCAGTCATTTCTGTCCGAATAAAGGATTTAGGACTTTTGTAAATATAATATCTATCTAAAAGATAAGAATTTCATATATGAAAGTTAAAAAAGTTATTTTTAAAAATGTAAACCTCTTTTTTAATATCTTTAATTCTTTTATTTATTTATTTTGTTTGCTATAATTGAAGCAACGATTTATATAGGGTAAAAATATTGATTTTAAAGTCTTAAATTGTAGGACTTTTAAAATAGTCGAAATAAGGAAAGATTTAAAAAGCAAAACTTTATTCAATTTTAAAGTACTAAATATTAGGAATTGTTATCTATTACAAATAAATAAAGAATTAATAGTTATAACTTTAAGGGATAAGGGTCTGAAAAATACTCCAACTTTGGTCGAATTTGCTGTTGCGATACTAAACTTTCATGAGGACCTATTACCTCCCTAGACTATTTAATACCGTATTTTAAACATATATATTTGCCCACGTGGACATAAAAAATAATGTAAAGTTATAAATATTAATGTGTCCACGTGGGCACATATATACCTTTAAAATACACTATTAAATAGTTCAGGGGGGTAAAGAATATGGTATTAAATAGTCTAGGGAGGTAATAGGTCCTTATGAAAGTTTAGTATCACAACAGCAAATCCGACCAAAGTTGGGGTATTTTTCAGACCCTTATCCCTAACTTTAGTAATTTAAAAGTCTTAAATATTATGATATATTTAAGGAAAAAGGTTCAAAAATGCCCTTAACGTATTAGAAGTGGTTTAGAAATGCCCCCCTTGACTCAAAAATGCCCTTAACGTATATAAATAGTTCAAAAATACCCTCCTCCCACCTATTGGATCAAAAATGCCCTTAACCTATTGAAAATAGTTCAAATTTACCCTTCTTCTACCTAAAACTATGTTTATCAACTAATAAATACTATTTAATATGCCCACTTTTTGTACATCTTACTATATTTTAATAATAAATATAATATTTTTATAATATTAAAGTATTTTTTAAAATTCTTTTTAGCCTTCTAATTTAAAACTTAATTTTTAAAATCATTTTACTTCTATTAGCATCTTTTATATATATAATCTAACAGTTTTAGTCTTTTAAAATTACTGAGATTTTTGTATCAATTATGTTAAGATACAGTGTATATTTACACTCAAAAATAATTTATCAAAAATTATCTTACTATGGGCATACATAATGAGATTCCTCTTTCTCTGTGACTAAGATAATGTTTTTATACAATATACATTCTAGTTAATTCACACTTTAGTTCATACATTTTATTTAGAGCAAATACATATATTAGGTAAGACAAATATTTAGACAAACAAGCAAAAAAATTTCAAAAAAATAAAATACCAATCAAAAGAAAATTAAATAATTGTCAAAGTACAGTAAACAAATTATTGACGTGTATAATTGGAAAATATTTTTGAGACATTTCTAATATGACAAGGGATTTTTCAAATCTTATACGTAGATAAAATGAAAAAATTGAACCATTCTAATAGATTAAGAATATTTTGACCCATAGGTGGAGGAAGAATATTTTGGAACTATTTCTAATACGTTAAGGGAATCTTTAACCCAATAGATGAAAAAAAAGGACAAGTTTGACCCAATAGGTTGAAGAAGGACATTTTTAAACATTTCTAATACATTAAGAATATTTTTGAACTTTTTTCCTATATTGAATACTCCAGTCAGTTAAAGTAAAAGTACAATATATGATTATATACATTTGAAGCTATAAATTACAAATTTATTTAAATAACGGTGAGATAAATGTTGAAAATTGAATTCAAAATTATTGTTGATTATGAATAAAGCAAAAGAGAAAATAGAATGAGAATTTATGATTATGAGCATGAGGAAATATAAATTTTAATACAAACTACTCCAATAAAAATTATTAGATCATGAATAATTTTATTTACAAAAGGATCTCAATATTTGGACTCGTGCTTAAATTTGTTCTTTTATCAATAACAATTAAAACTTACCACACAAATATTTTATAAATATGATTCCCTCTCACTCAACATTAAATTAAGCCAACTCCAAATATTATTAAATCATGTCATACAGTGAACGATTAAATAAACTAAAATATTAAAGACTATTTTAAAAGTAAAATATTGTTGATAATCTGAAATTTTCATTGTTAATCTCTTTTCCTATTTTATACCCCTTGTATTAAGCAAGTTAAAAATTAAAGCGAATTATAACATTTGCAACTGTTACACAAATTAAAGCAATCATTACGAAGAGAATAATAATACATGCATAAATATCATTCAAAAATCGCTTTTTATGTTAAGTTACTTTATTAATTTGTTATAATTTTCAGAATCCTAGTTATAATATTCAGTTATATTTGCAAAACACAATCATAATTTATATATTAAGCTATCTTGGCAAAATGCCACGTGGTAGGTATTAAGCTGTTTGCTTAGTTTTTTTACAAAATTTTTTATTTTTAATTTATTTGTGTTTCAATTTTTTTCATATTCTGTTTCAAAAAAAAATAAATCAAATTCAAACTATTATAATCCTATACATGACATGTTAACATAAGAATAATTCATAAAATCCATGTTAAAAATGAAAATAAAAAAATTAAATATGAGATAACTAATGAAAATAAAAAAATTAAATATGAGATAACTAATAACTAAATATATATATATATATATATATATATGACCTAACATCAGATAGACAGAGAAAAAGAAAATATACAATTAATGTAAATATATAAAATAAAATATTAAAAAATGGCTATATTGAGAGAAAACATACAATTGATACAAACACACAATATATAGATATATAATAATAAAAAGGGAGAAGGGAGAGGGAGAGGGAAAGGAAGAGAGACAACACAAATATATAATTAATTATACGAATACACAACGCAAAGTACAAATTAAAAACAGAGGCTAAAAAGGGAGGGAGGGGTGGGGGTGGGGGTGGGGGGGAGACGAAAGGAGGGAGTTCTGAGAGGGAGAAAGATAAGCGAGATTAAACGAAAGGAAAAAGATGATAGTAGAGTAAAATATGATTATAGTATATAATTTTTTTTTAAATGTAATTAGCATGTACAATAAACACATGATACTTGTTTGCTACTACGTGACTTTTCCTTGTTTGGTTTTGGTTGGGGTAATACATAAAGATTAGGACTTTTCCTCCCTTTTTACTTATTTTGGTCTTTTAAATATATATATGCTAACTATTTGACCATAACAAAAATATAAGAAAAGTTAATAGCTAAATTAAAATAAAATATACTTTGAAAATGCTAAAATTACTATTTTATTTATTAAAATCTAAATTATTTTAAAAAATATTTTTTAAAATTTTCTTTTAATTCAAAAAGTAACAACAAAATATATTTTAAAAATGTATGTGATTCTATTTATGTAGTTTTTCAATTTTTAAAAGTAAAACTTACTAAAAATGAAATAAAAATTAAAAGATTTAATTTAGACCTAAAAGAAATATTTAAACAATAAAAAATATAAAACTTGAGTTTTGATCAATAATCACATGTCCACAACTCAAAATTTTAAAAGCACCTAAAAAATTTACCATATAAAAATCCAAAAGGAATCTAGATTTTTAACACATACAAAAGATATTGGTATACATAAATTGGACAGATATTAATAAAACTAAGATGATTCACAAATTTTAATTTGAAAAGTAATACATTCAACAATAAATAGACCTCCTAGATAGAATTTTTGAATGGCATGCTGCCTAACATTTCTTCAATTTCTAAAAAGTGTTTCTCTCACATTTTAAATTATTATAATTTTCTGTATAAATAGTGATACCAATAGCAAAAGACTAAGCACAGAACACACTCAAAAACCCAAAAATTGAATAAATTTTCAGATTTTACAAAGTATTATCACAATAAAGCAACAATGACTTCATTGGCTGGAAATGTAAACAATGAAAATGGAATTTTTCGTCTAGAGGCTAATTTTTCTCCTAGTCTATGGGGGAATATTTTTAGCAATTCTACTCGGAATAATCAGGTAAATATATGTATTCAATCAAGTCTCTTTATAACGACATATGTTGTCTTGATATTTCTTGATTGCATACAATATAAACGATTAAATATTGTTATTATAGACGACTGTTATAGACTATGATTTGACTGTATATGCTTGTTTATTTGTCTTTATAGATATCCGAAAAAGTTATAGAGGAGATTGAGGGTTTGAAAGAAGAAGTGAAACACATGATAATAAGTACTACTACTACTACTAGCAATGACATTGAACAAAAAATTCATTTGATTGACACTCTTGAACGTCTTGGTATTTATTATCACTTTGAGAAGGAGATTGAAGATCAATTAAGCAAGATGTTTGATCAAAATGTCATTCATGAAGAAGATGATTTATACAAGATTGCATTATATTTTCGATTGTTTAGACAACATGGATATCCAATCTCTTCCGGTATGTTTCTATACTGAACGTCTTACGCTTTGTCAGCCTGAAGATACTCTTAATATCATCACGCCTTTTTTGTCTTTTCAATTATCAATATAAGGATGAGACTTTGTTCACACATCTAACAGTAACTCTGACATAACGATATATACTTTGTGAATTAGATTATTTCAACCAATTCAAGGACAACAATGGAGAATTCAAGAAAACTCTAGTTACAAATGCAAAGGGCTTGTTAAGTTTGTATGAAGCAACACATGTTAGAAAACATGGTGATGACATATTAGAAGATGCACTTATTTTTGCAAAATTCCATCTTGAGAGGATAACACATACATTAATGGATTCTACTCTTGAAAAACAAGTAACACATGCACTTATGCAATCTCTTCATAGAGGAATCCCAAGAGCTGAGGCACATTTTAACATTTCAATATATGAAAAATGTGAATCAAGAAATGAAAAGCTACTAAGGCTTGCCAAATTAGATTACAATTTGTTACAAGTGCTACACAAGGAAGAGCTTAGTGAACTCACACAGTAAGTTGTTTTAATTTGTTTGTCTTACTTTTCTTTTTAGTCTGTTTTTTTTTTAAAATTATTTAACTCTTTCGTGTTTTTGACAACTCTTTAATTTCAAATATCCATGTGACATGTTTAAGATCACAAGATTAAAGAACGTATATTTTGGTATATTTGATACAATTTTTAATTATATTAAGATCAGAAGATTCAAAAGTCTTTTTGACTTTCGTATATAAACTCTATGTCAAGCTAAAACATGACAAATAAATTGAAACAGATGACGTATTATATATTAAGTTAACTAAACATTACTCTTGTTTATTGTGAAGGTGGTGGAAAGATTTGGATTTTGCATCAAAACTTTCATATGTGAGAGATAGAATGGTGGAATGTTTTTTTTGGGCAGTTGGTGTGTACTTTGAACCACAATACTCTCAAGCTAGAGTTATGCTTGCAAAATGCATAGCTATGATTTCAGTAATTGATGACACATATGACTCTTATGGAACTCTTGATGAACTAATTATATTCACGGAAGCTGTGGACCGGTATGTTACATAAATTAAGGCAAATAAAAAAAGTATATCAGATAATTGATATATGGAGAGTGTATATCTACAATCAATTAACCTTTTTTTTTTTGTATGATTATAGGTGGGATATAAGTGAAATTGATCGACTTCCAAACTATATGAAACCGATATATACATCTCTTCTCGATCTCTTCAACGAGTATGAAATCAAAATCAAATTAGAACAAGATAAATTCAATGGAGTTCATTATGTCAAAGAGGCAGTATGTCACTTAATTAAAAACACAAATATTATTTTCTTTTGATTTGATGAATTTTTAAACTATATTTTAATAAATGTTATAATTTATTTATTTATTTTTGAATAGATGAAAGAAATTGTGAAGAGTTACTATATTGAAGCAGAATGGTTTCTTGAAGGAAAAATTCCATTATTTAAAGAGTATTTGGGCAATGCATTGGTTACTGGAACTTATTATCTACTTGCACCAACATCATTATTGGGCATGAAATCAACATCAAAGAAAACATTTGATTGGATAATGAATAAACCAAAAATTCTTGTGGCTTCTGCAATAATTGGTAGAGTTATTGATGATATAGCAACTTATAAGGTATTGTGAGTACAATTTTTACATATATGTGTTTGCCAACATATTATAAATTAAACACACTTCTAAAAAAATAAAAATAAAAACTGACCGACAAAATCGATTTTTCCTTAATTTTTTGGACCTACCCCATTAATGGAATTTTTCATTATTTTTAGTAGTGATTTTTAATAACATTCTCATGATGAATTATATATATTTTTTCTTATAGATTGAGAAAGAAAAAGGACAACTTGTTACAGGAATAGAATGTTATATGCAAGAAAACAATTTATCTGTGGAAGAAGCAAGTGCACAACTTTCTGAAATAGCTGAAAATGCATGGAAGGATTTGAACAAAGAGTGCATTAAGTCTACTGATTCTATGCCAACTGAAATCTTGATGCGTGTTGTGAACCTAACACGTCTGATTGATGTCGTTTACAAGAACAATCAAGATGGATATAGTGATCCAAAAAATAATGTGAAATCTGTGATTGAAGCTTTACTAGTCAATCCCATCGATTTGTAAGATTCTTTAATCGATCGACATAGAAGATGGTCAATAAATAAGTCGATGTATATGCTTTATTCAATAATTTTCATTAATAAGTAATTTGTAATCCGTCATATTTTATTTATCAATTAAATTTAAAATTTTTATTATTTTATTTGTGTGTCTAGTATATGTCCTACACATTGTGATTTGTGTGGAATTTTCTTTGGATGAAACATCGAGCAACTTCCAAAAAACCTAGTCTATACTTCTTTTGTCCGTGACTCTTTTTATTTTTCGAAAGTCAAATAATTTAAATTTGATTAGAAATTTACGAATGAAATCTTCAATTTTTTTAAAATAAAATTTATATGTTTATAAACTACGTAAAAAGTAATATAAATCACATTAATTGACAATTCAAAATAATTAAAAAATATATGGAAAAATTTAATTCTTATATACTAACTATAAAAACCCGACCCGCTTACCCATTTTTTTGATCAACCATGATTGTAAACGTAGCACTATCGTCCTCCTCCATCAATTCTCCGGCAACTTTTCCGATTAACCGGAGGTTGAATGTCGCCGGACTTCTGAACCCTTTTCTTCTCCACTACCGGAAAATTAACGGGTCCATGTTTCCTTCTTTTCTTTGCCGGAAAATTACAGGTGGTGGGAGAATCGTAGCTGCGGCGGACATGGATAAAGCAGAGAAAAAGACGGGTCCGGTGAGAATAGTTGGGATTGTTGGAGAGGGTAGTGTTAGCCCTCTCAAGTCTACTCCTTGGCTTGACGTCATGCTTCACACTGTGAGCATTTTGCAACTCCGATTACTTTCTTCAACTCGAAAATTATATACAGAGTTAACTATTTTCTAGAAATCGATTACTCCTTTCATCCCAATTTCATGTGAATGTGTTTAACTGGATATAGAGTTTAAGAAAAAGATAAATACTTCTGAAATTTGTGGCTGTAAATCATGGATAAATTGTCCTATTTTAAAGTTAAGTTGTTACTGAATATAGAAACGCAATATCATTCCTTTAGTGGAAAAGGGTCAATTTGCACCTTTACTCTCATAAAAAGGTTATATTTAGCCCTCGTAATAGTTTTTTGATATATTTGTCCTTGCCATTCAATTTTGGATACATATTTGTCCTTGATGGTTAAGTCTCAGTGCAAATGCATTACTTTTGGAGGATCCTGAGGCATTTTTAATGAGTTCGAGCAAAATAGGTTAGAATAAGGGTGTTAGAGCATTTCTACTTGTTCTTTCTGATATTCTTATTGGAAAGTAAACTAGGAAGCTTTCACAATTTGAAGTTGGTCTTTTGAGTAAAATAGAAACAAGAAACTAAACAAATGGACAAAAATATGTTACTCATACTACTAGTTGATAGACTGCTGAAATTCTGTTTTGATGATGAGCAATATCTGCTGCTGGTTCAGCTACTTACAGGAATGAAATTATGAGATTCTCAGTATAACTAGATAATCTGGCAAACGGAAACATTCTAGTTACCAGAGAAAAAGAAAGGGAAAAGCAATATGTAGAGGAAAAGGGAAGAAATGTAATGTGCATGAACAACTTTTATATTGTGGAAAAGATGCATTTTTTCTTTCAGAGAACTTCTATATTGTGGAAAAACTGGATGACCAATCACTTATGTAAACTGTCTGGCCTCATATGCTTTATGCTAGAAACGTTCGTAGTATGAAAGAGGTCCTGATGCTCATTGAAATATTCACCCAACACTACAATAACGAGGCTTGTTTTTTGTGAGAACATTGCTTCCCTTCACAGTTATGAGAATATACATATTAATTGGTACTTTGCTTCCTTTTATAAATGCAAGGCAGAGAGACTGAAATGGGTTGATGAAGAATTTGAAATGATTGTCTTTTCTGAAGATGAAAGTGTCAACCACATCAGCAATGAGCTGGATCGTGCTGACATTTTGGTGGTCGTTGCTGTCAGAAAGGAAGGATCAGTCAACTGGATACAGTCTAACAGCCAGAATGTCCCAAACATCATATGCTTTGATTCCTCTTTGGCACTGAGAAACAAGCTAGGTGGAAGTTTTGTTGAAACTAAAAAGAGGGGAGACATATTTAGCAGTTTACTTCCATTCTCTCAATCTAAGAAACTGGATGAATCTGTGGAGATAACCCGAACAGTGTTTGACGCTTGGGAAAGGCATAATTCTGATGACATACGGTTCTGCTTATTAGTTATAATTAATGCTTATATAACACCGGTTTCAACGCTGAAGAACCTTAGAGCAAAAGGATTCTCCACCTTGAACTGCATGGTGACAAATTGCGGGTCTCAGATATTGAACTGTCTACTGGATCCTAACTGTCGGAAGGCACTTCAATGCTTGAACAACTGCAGCCCTGTAGATCAGGTATGCAATTATCGCTGTATTGCTTCATATGAGAGCAAATACCTGGAAGAGTTCTCTCTCTGTGTACTACAGAAGAATAATTGTCTTGAACTTGATGCAAAGATCCCTGAAAAGCCTTATGTGACTCCAATGGCAGAGTTTCGAGGGGAGAAATTGTCTACTGAAATTGCTGAAGACCTCTTTGTTGGTTGGTTAGGGACATTGGAATGGAGTTGGCGCGTTGTAGCAGGGCAGAATCCAGCTTATGATCAATTTCCATGCCAGTACCAATTATTCTATCGGGGAAAAGCAAGAGGATCATTCTGGTATGAACCAGTTTTCCAGGTAAAAACACTTGAAGGAGACCTAGTCTGGAGAAGGCGCAAGTATAGAGTGAAAAGAGGAAAAGCTACAGGAACATTTCACTTCAGTGTATTGGATAATGGAGTCGTTTCTAACGAGTTCTGGACAATTGTGGATGTTTCTGATGATTTGAGCTGGGGTCTGTTCCACTATCATGGAGCTGCACGAGTGGCGGGGCAGTCATATACTGGGGCAGTTCTTGTCAGCCCAGATGGACAATATCCAGCTGAGAAGGAAAAACAAAGGTTGATATCTGCATTGGATAGATGCGGTATCAAAGAGTGGGAGTTATTCAATGTTGATAACTGTTCATGTGAAAATGCACCATTGGGGATTCCAGATGGCTCAAGTCTGCATTCTAAAATTCAAGTCAATGAGCAGACACATTCTTCAGTCTAGGAGCCTGCATTTTTTTTTTGTTAAAAATGAATGTGTCATGTATAGTTTATTGATAGGTCAATCATGTTGTAACATCCTGTTGTAAAATTTTGGAGTACTGAGGCTTGGGACCAAATGCAAAGAATATTTCCAAATGATGACAATAAAAGCCGAATTCTATTAACCACCCGGCTCAAGTATGTAGCTGATTATGTCAATTGTCCTGATTTTCCGCCTCATTGTAAGTCTTTTCTCACTCTAGATGATAGTTGGAATCTATTTACTGGAAAATTGTTCAAAAAAGATGTGTGTCCTCCTCTACTTGTAGAAATAGGGAAGCATATTGTACAACAATGTCAAGGGTTACCTCTCTCGGTTATTGTCGTTGCGGGACTTGTTGGAAAAATGGACCCAACGTATGATAATTGGAAGAAAGTTGAGGAAAATCTGAACTCATTCTTTGGTACAGTATCCGAACGGTGCCAATCAATTCTTACTTTGAGCTACAATTACTTGCCCCAATATTTGAAGGCTTGTTTTCTCTACGTTGGAGGTTTTCCAGAAGACATAGAGATTAATGTTTCCGAGTTGATTAGGCTATGGATTGCTGAGGAATTTGTAAGGGGAAGAAGCAATAAAAGGTTAGAAGTGGTTGCAGAGGAGTATCTACAAGAGTTAATTGATAGAAGTTTAATGTTGGCCAGTAAACATGGGGATAATGGAATGATGAGAACTTGCAAAATTCACGATCTTCTTTGCCAACTATGCCTAAGAGAAGCTCATACTGAAAATGTTGTGCATGTCATGAATGGCTTAGAAGCCATAGATGATCAACGGCGACTGATCGTTCAGTTTGATCTTGAAGAGAAGGAATTTTATCCTACAAGGCATAGCAGTGGTATTACAAGTATAACCCGCACCTTTATTTCAAGGCCAACATATTTTCCAAAAAGGAATTAATCCATTGTTTCAGAGTTGAAGTTGCTTAAGGTGTTGGATGTATTATCAATTGAATACGATTTCTCTTGTGTAATACCTCAACTTGTACATTTGAGATATGTTGCTGCAACAATTGAGGAAACTCTTTCACTAGCCAAATTGAGAAATCTACAGACCATATTTCTTCGAAGTCTTGAAGAGACGGAGTTGAAGCACCCCGTAGATATTAGGACAATGTCAGAGATGAGACATGTGGATATTAGATCACCACTATATATATGTAATCCTCTTGAGGCAGAAAATAATAGTATTGGAGAACATCCTCTGTTTCTCAATAACTTGCAAACACTAACTCTTCACTTATCTCCTTTTGCTGTGGAAATCATAAGAACTCCCAATCTAAAAGAACTAAGGATTTTACATAAAGCTAAGCATTCTGACGGGCTTGCTATTCTTGATTCTCTCAGCCTTCTTGAGAAACTGGAGAAATTACACCTAGAAGCACAACAAACCGTTAACCAATCATGTTGTACACAATCATGTTGTACACATTCTTCAGTCTAGGAGCCTGCACTTTCCTTCTTGTGATGGAAGTACTTTTCAAAAAGAATGGAAGGCTAATTCTCCAATTCCAAACAATGTCATATTACTTATATCTGTTTTAGGAGTCCCCAACCGTATGCTAAGAAGATGAGAACATATATAGAATGTGATACAACACAAAAATCTTGTTTACTAAATGAACTTGAGTGAACTGCAATATACAGGAGAGTTTTGTTAGACAAATCTCTAAAAGAAGAAAAAGGAGTGAAGGGAATAAATCAAAATCAAATGGCTAATCTGCATATTTGACAAAGTTTGGAACTGTTTTTCTAATGTGATTAAAACTTGATATGGTTAATAACTTAGGTAGCAGCTCCTCAACTTCAAGACAATCGAAGCATTTTATTGCTAAGTGGCCGTAAAATTGTTAGCAATGGTTCCTCCTCATTGAGTATTCTTGGATGTTCTTTCCAAAAGCTCGTCTCAATTATGTTACAGTGTTCAACAACTACTCTGTCATTTCCTGTTAGTTCATCCTGGGTTCAGAAGCAAAAAGTAAAAGTGAATACCCACTCCATCAGTTTGATCTGTAATAGAAGTCAAAAACAATGGCACTTGTGTTGCAAATGAACTTATGTACCAAGTGTAGCTTCTGAATACGAAGAATACAGATGAGACCAGGAACAATTTAGATGAAAACATGCTCATTATGGAGTTAATTATCACATTAATGACAAGAACCATAAAACACTTGCTAAGGTACTATATTTGTGTTGTTTATATTCACGACAGAACTTTTTTGAGCACAGAGTTTATTATCCATAAGGTGGTAGAAGCCTAAACTAAAGGATACAGGCTTGATATACAATATCATCAAAAACAACATAAAGTACTTCAAGCAAACATAGCATCTTCAGCAGAGAGAGAGAGAGAGAGATTTACTCTGTCCTGGAAAACAGAGGACCCCATCCGAAAGATAATTGGTAACGCATTGTAATCAATGCCAAACTTGGCAAGCAATTCATTTTTTTCTTGAGTTTGAGTACCCTGCAGAACAAAAGGGTGGTCATTGGACTATCAAGATTACTCTCAATAGTGAAACCTGCTTGTGTCTGATCAGAACGGGATGAGAGATATGCACTAACAGATCTAGTTAATCAAGGTCAAATCAACGCTAACAGTCTAAATTAAGGTGCATAGTTGATTTCTACAGAATCAAATTACAAAAAAATATTCATTTACACTATTATGTGTCACAATCATGTGGATGAGAACTTTATCGTTAGTGATTGAGGCTTCAGTGCCGTTAGCGTTCACATAGTATGTCGGCCTATGCTTTTAACATAATCGCATCTTTGTGAAAATCTCAATTTCTATAACTGTGTTCCTATAAGTGATAGCTTGAACAAAAATTTTAACTGTACCTTTCAAAAAACTTAAGTGCTTGCCATGTGCTAGGCTCAAATAAGGATACTGCAAAATCGAGAAGAAGCTTAAAGAAAAGACTAACTAAATGTATTTTCATTCAGCTTTCTGGCTATCAGAACTATAAGTGAAAAAAATCACACCCTTAAACACAAAATGTGTGATGTCAACAAGTATACCAATACTTCACCACTACAGGCTGCAAGACTATTTTCTTCAAGGTGCACATGGCGTAAAAAAGATTATCCAGAAGATTTAGACAGCAAAATAATCCATAGAATCACATATTATAATAGATCATGCTACTTCATCTTAAAACAAGAGACCTACGCCATAAATTAAGGAATGAGATACCACACCTTCAGAGAGCTTTGTGCTTCAGTTCTGGTCTTTCCAGACTTAACAAGCAGCCAGAAACAAGTATTGTACTGATTGTTTATGTGACCTACAAGTCAATATATTGACATAAGATTGTTAAAATGATACAATTCATTCTTTAGCTTGCCAGCAAGAAGAATAGGTCATAAAAACCCAAATTTCTTCATATAACCTGATTAATTTGCTTGAAATTCTTAACTAACAAATAAAATAGGGAGTACTCACAATCAACTTGTCTCCAAGCCAAGTAATCTCGAAGAATCTCAGATGATGGATAGCAAACAGATCGTCCATCAAAATAAGGTGGTTCTTTAAACTCTTTCTTATGAAAAAACTCTTTCCACTTCATCACATACATGGAAGAGAAAAGAGATACAACGGCAGAGACGATTTCACTGAAATGATGATCATAAGAGCAAGTCAAAATAACTACATCAAATATAACCAACAAAAATGTCAATATAAAAACATTATGTAAACTAGTTGAGGATGGCCCTCATACAGTTGCCAAATAGACTCTACCCTGAAACTTAACCAAATTAATGAAAAAGCTTTGAGAAATCGTTGTATGTAAGAGATTTACTAAAAATGCAAAATATTCTAGAAGGGAAATTCCACCATTCAGACAAGCAAGCATTTTATAGGACACATTCTGACAAAACTCGCATTGCGCACAAGAAATGAATTTGCAGGATCTTTTAGCATGTTGTTCACAGATAATTGCACTATGTTCTTGCAGGTTGGCAACTGCAGCTGAGTGGTGTCAAAATAATCTATATGCATCATGGATTCTAGAAACAGGAAGAAGAATTTGATTTTGACCTTGAATTGGTTCCCTCCTAATATGTGGTTTTAGCTAAACACTGCACTTACCTAGGAACTTAAGAATGGTGATGAAAGAGTTACCTTGACCACCTCTGATACAATAGAGAATCTTTCTTCAAAACAAAGCTGAAAGAAAAATTGATCTCTCAAGATAAAAGATAACAGGAAAAGGAAGAGATATGTTAAAAGTGAATCAAAGATGTTAAATGAACTAATACCTGTATTCATCACTCACCCCATATGCAAAGATAATATCCTTAAACATCTCCAGCAAAGAAACCGCACAAGAGTTCATAAGTTTCAGTGCCTGCTCATCATTTGGCTTCTGAAAGCCATTATCGTCACAAAACCTACAGTGGATCCCATCAAGATCATGAAACCAGCAAGTCCAAATTAGATTTCTCAAATTACATGCTCAGTATTTTACATGACTTTATACTTGTGAAATTACACACACACACACACACACACACACATATATATATATTTTATTTTTTTTTTATTTTTTTTTATAAAAGTGTATGCATATATTACAACCATGCACTTGTGTCTGACATTTTTTATGGATCTGGAATGTTTTGTACAACTTCACTGTTGTTTCCAGGTCATAATAGAAAATTAACTTGGGAAATGCTTGGAGTTTCTTCTTTAATCCGGAGGTAGAAATCCAGAGACTTATAAAGAAAATAGGCATATAAGAAAAACCAGCTCCCACTGAAACATGGATTATATTATCCAGAAAATGCATATTACCTACAAAATTTTATGCTTGATGAAAATAAGAAGCAAGAATAATGCCACATCATTTTGACATGAAACGTGGGATTTGAAGCAAAAAGAATAATTCAATCTAAAGAGCATCACAGACAAGAGAAAAGGTATCAACTGGAAAAGGGGAAAAGAAAGAGACA